TAGTGGTTTTAGATTGTTGATTTAGATTAGTTAGAGTTAGTTGAGATCCGTGAGGCATTATTTTGAGATTCCGGATCAATTTAGCCCCTCACAACGTTGTAATATTTGGTACATTGTGAAAGGGTGAATTGTGGCTTGAAATCATTTTTTTAGCATAGTAGATCGAGATGGGCTGGAAAAGATCTGCCATATCTAACAGATATGTCAGATATGTCAGATATGTTATATCCATCAGATATGTCAGATATATCAGATATGTCATATCCATCAGATATATCAGATATATTAAATATGTTAAATGTGTTATATATGTTATATATATTATATATGTTAGATACATTATATATGTTAGATAGAATTAGCAAATTAGATAAGGCGAGACCAATTTGATTCTGTGTTTTACATTACCTCCTCTCTCTCATGACCCTCCTCTCTCCTTCATAGTAAAAAATTATATACACATATACATATATATTTAATAGTTGATAATGCTTAAAAAAAGCTTTATTTTATATTTATTTTTAGTGCTTGGCACAATCAAACAAAAATTTGACAGTCAAATACTTGTTAATACTTGTGATTAAGTCGGACATCAAATGATTGCAGATTAACCAATAGTATATATTTAGCTTTGGTTAATCTGCAATTGTTTGATATCCGATTTAAACATAAGTATTAACAAGTATTTGAATATCAAATTTTTGTTTAGCACTATTTATTTTATGTAACTTTGAACAAATATTTATAAAAATAAAAAAATATTTATAAAAATAAAAATATTTATAAAAATAAAAGATATTTATAATGATAAAAAATATTTAAAAAATAAAAAATATTTTTAAAATAAAAATATTTATAAAAATATTTAAGTATCTACTAGTAATTGCTGCTTTTTACTTCTCATCCTACCAATCTTAATTTCAACTTGAGTAAAATGATCTTTTTCCAATTCTTTACATGTTCTACAATATAGATAAACTTTTTTATATCTATTAGTTAATAAACTTGGCAAATCAGATAAATTATCCATTGTTCCAAACAAATAATAAAGTTGAATTTAATCTCCTTTTGTACAAGTATAATAGTTTGCTTCAAGGCGGTATCTATAATTTATGTTAAACTAGTATTGTTATAGAAATCTTAAAGATAATACAAAAATAATACTACATGGTATTATCATCAAGATTTCTATTTCTATACAATACAGTACTGGTTTAATGTAAATTATGGATGCCACCCAATGGTTCTACCACAAAATTCCAAAAACCATTTTCCTGAAAGAACATAATACAGACTAAATTGACCGCATTATAACTAATGCCAGCTAACTTTATCGGTATTAGGTTCTTTCAGGAATCTGCCTTTCAGAATTTTGTGATAAACCCACCCAATAGGTGAGTTGCAAAAATAAGTTCATTAATATAAAGAGTATTATATAGTAGATAACTTTCATCTAAAATTGAACTTCTATAAGTATATAAAGAATTTTGAAGTGCTATTTGCCATTGCAATTCCTCATCTTTATTAAGAAAATTTTGGCTATAAAAACAATGCCACTTTTCACAAGCAGTACACTCTACCTAACTATTAATATTTTTATATATATAAAGATTACTAGAACCACATTCTTGCCCATCTTGTTTTAATAATAAGGATAGACAATTATTTTCCTTAGTTTCTTTTCTATACATTGAACTAAATATGCTATAGTGATTTGAATCTAAATATTTAAATTATTAATTAATAAAACTAAATTATTAATTAATAAAAATTAATTAATTAATTAATTATTATCTAAGTACAAACCATTTATAGATGGTATTGAATCTGGTAAAAAATTAAGTGTGTTAAACTTGTCAATTGGTATTCTAACAGGTTTATAAAACAAGCAACTATCTTGAATATACTTTTTAATCTTAAAAAAGATATATTATATTAGTATATATTATAATATTAAAAAATTAAATAAAATATTTACCTGAAAAGAATATAATCTTTGTTGGCAATGAGATTTTAAAAATTCTATTAATTTTTTATACTTTTGTAATTTTGCCCATGTTGTTTTATTAATTTGAAAAGATTTATCAATATTTTCCATTTCTTATAAGATAAAATAATTTTTAATAATTTTATTAAAATATTTAAATAAATAAAATAGATCGCTATTATTAAAAATCAGGCAAATTAGTATTTTAAAAAAATTAATTTTTTAAAGTATCAATCTGCCTAATTTTTATTAATAGTAGCCCAAATTTATTACTTTAAATAATTTATTTATATCATTATTTAAGACAGAATTATAGCAATTAAATGAATTTTCATTTAAAACCAATAATGTAGTTTTTTCATATAATAAATTTTGAATATTTATTATACTATTTTCTAGTTTTATTTTTAAAATTTCATTACTTTTAGCAGCCTTTCAAATTTTCTTAATTGTATCTAGTTGCTTAAAAATTTCTTCCTACTCAAAACTAAGTTCTTCACATACTAAAGCTATATTTTGTAATTCTAAATTAAGAATTGATATAATCCTCTCTGCAGGGTTTGCTCAACTATGGTATAGTGCAGTTTTGCAATAATCATATCAAAATCTCCTTTAAAAAATAGTGAAATAAGAGAAATTTGAACTGATCTAAAATTTGTTCTATAATCAGGACGACTATCAGTATATAAGTATAAAATTAATGGCATTTTATAAAAAATTTATAACTAATTGTTAAAAAAATTCAGTAGCATGACAAATTGCATTACTATTTTCAAATATTGTATTTTTTATCCTATATAAACATCTCTATTATAGAAAGAATCAGAAAATTATCTGGAACTTCACAAAAAATATAACAGATAGAGTAATTAATAATTTTGTAAAATTATGATCATATGCAGATCGTTGTATATTAATTGGTACTATAGATAGTCTATTTTGAATACTAGTTGAAGTAGAAATCTTTTCTCTAATTACAATTTTATATTTGTTATCAGCTAAAATAAAACATACAAATTCCTTATATAAAATAGCAAATTCACATAAATATCTAAAATAAGCAGCACAATAATGTGCATCAGGATAAGATTTTCGAAGTTGATGACTTTGAGCTTTGTATTTAATTTTAAACTTTCTAGTATATTGCATTGCATAATTTGTTGTTGAACTTTAGGCCAGAATTTATTCAGTACTTGGTATATAAATTGTTTTAGAAATAGAATTACTATATTGAAGTTTAAAATGAGAAATAATAGTTTTTTGAAGATCATGTACAGTAATAAACCATGGTAAATATAAAATAGATTTATAATATCTATTATCTACTGTTAGAGTATTCTTTTTTTTTTTTTTTTTTTTTTTTTAAGGTAAGGCCTTGCCTATATCTTTATTAAATAATTTATATAAGTAATTATATAGAAACTATATAAAACTTAATTTGTGTAATTACAAATAAATATAAACTATATGCAAGAATAAGAGCTCAAACTAAAAGCTCAAACTAAAGCTTAAACTAGTTATCTGTGACCTAAACCTACTAGAGTGGTCAAGACTCATCTAGATTTGGATGATTAAAATATAATTAGTAGAGGTGCTATATTGAATCCATATTGTGAACCAGATATCAAATTTGTGGTTAGCGAGTTCAGCAAAAGAGCATATATTAGACTTATCATGGAGTTGATCTGATAAGTTACATAGGCAGTTATAAGTAAATAACCTTTTGGTTCTGGAGATTATTAGAGAAGATAATTGTTGGAAATATTGGGTAGGTAAAGTACTAGTAGAGATAAGATATATTTTTTTCCAAGTGAAAAAATTTATACAATATGTTTTCTATATATAGTTATAAAGTTGGTTAGAAATTTTGATAAGAATTTAAATAATAAGTTGGGAGGTGAGAGAGTAGGAAATATTAAAGGATAATACAGATTGTATAAGTGCAATAGAAATAAGGCCTTTAAGAGTTGAGTGGATAGAGTATAGGTAAAGAGAAGAGGGCTAGAAGGAGAAAGAAGGGCAAGAGAAATTGTATATATTAAGTAATTAGTTTCTTGATAAAAAAAAATTGAGATTGAAGTTGGTAATAGTCTCAGTAACAAAGAAGTTAATAACTTGGATTAAGAAGTTAGGGTTAGGGCATGTATACCAGTGGAATGATGAGTCAGAGAGACTACATTGGAAACAAAGATGAGGTATGTTGAAGCTGGGTGATATAGAGTTAATATAGAATTGTGTAGGTAGCATATTTAGTACTATTTTGATTTTAAAAGATTTAAGATAATTAAGTTTGAAATTGGTAAAATTGTATAATCTTTTATGATTGCTATTAAAGAATAGCTAGGTAGAGTTCTAGTCAATAAGATTGGAGAAGTGTGATCACTCTTGACTACATCTCTGTGAGGACCACATTGCAATAGTTTTGGTATTACGGATATTTTTAACCAAGCATTTTGTGGAGCATTCAATGGTATATTTTTCCATTGAAGAAAGAAGTAAGGGTTGTGGATATTGGAATAATTAAAAAGTAAAGTAGGTAAAGACAAGTGATTATTGGCAAAAAGATTTGCCAAGTTGTTGAAGGTGTTGCTTGAGTGAGCTTGAACTTTGTAAAGAGATAGTCTAATATTATGCTTTAAGTAAATTGAGAAGTGTGTACCAGATCAGTCAAGCATTAAATTTAAAATATTTAGTAGTAAAGTGAGAAGTTTGAAGAAGTTTGTTGTATTTGAAAATTACTAATTGAGAGTTAGTAAAAATAACTACTGAAGAATTACAAAGAATAGTAGAAATAGCAGAGAGAATAGCTAAGAGTTCTGCTTTATAGAATAAAGACCAGTTGAAGATCTGAGCAAAGAAGTTATGTATAACAGAGTTATTAGATACTTGGATCCAACCAATATCCATAGTGTATTGATTAGTGCCAAGATTTAGAACAGAGCCATTTGTATAAAAAGTAAAGTGTTGAAAAGACTTGTTAACAAGGGAGAATTGAGTAAGAATATCAGATGCTATATTATAGTGAAATAGTAAGGAAGCAAGAGAGTCAATAATATGAATAGAGGGGATATGGAATATCAAAGAGGTTTTTGATATTAATAGATTGGATCAGGTTGATATAGTTAGCATTAAGTTTGAGTTTGTTATAATATTTTCTTCTCAAGAATTGTGTAGATAGAATAGAGAAGACCTCTAAAGTACAGTGGTTGGATATATGATGTGAGTTGAGATTACATCCTGGGCAGGGTTTTAGGTAATAGAAGGTAAAGAATAGTAGGTAAAATAGGAAGTGTTAATATTATGTAGCTAGTAATTAATTAAATGTAGATTAAATTGGTGATATACTTTTTGAACTTGGCCAATAATAATATTGTTATTAATACGAGCAAGTATTCAAGACTTGAGAGATTTACTAATTAGACCAGTTTGGTAAGTGAATAAGTTTTATCTAATAGGTTGAAAAGATGTTAAAATTGAATGATTAAAGGTGTGAGATAAGATTGTATCTTCTAGATATTCAAACCAGGCTGGTTTTTTTCTTTAGGAATATGCAATAATTTTGGAGATAGGTGAGACTAGTCAAGTAATACTTTGTTATCTGCAGAGCATAATTGTTCAAGAAAAAGTATATTTTTGTATCGAAGTTGTTGTTCAAAGGTAAAATATTTTAGATATACAGAAAGAATATTCTCAGAGAGGAATTACCACTAGTGATAGTTTGGAGCCAAGAAAGATTGAAGTTAGAAAGAATAGAAATATTAAAAGAATTAAAAAGTTGTATAATCTTAAATATAGTAGTGTGTATGTTGGGACCATCAATTGTGAGGTTAGGGTGGTAAAAAATATTAGTAGTAGACCACAGGTTGTTTTGAAGTTGTTGGAGTCTGGTATGAGTTGTTATACCAAAAGTAGATGTATTATTAATATGGTTAAGAAAGTTGCTGATGTTGAAGCTGTATATTCCATAAGCTATAAATATTGTAAAAATTATGGTTATGTAAGGTGCTATTAGATGTAGATCTAGAAAGGTGTGATTTGTGTTT